ACTGAATTCCCCCACTACCAACATCCTGGGGATTAAAAACTGAACTGAATTCATTATTTCAATACTGTGGCTGCAAGAGCAGACCAGAGGCTAGGAATACTGCAGCGAATAATTGACCTCCTGACTCCCGCCAAAGCCTGTCCACCATCAACATGGCTTAAGTCAGGAGTGTGATGCAATATTCCCCACTTGCCTGGATGAGTGCAACTCCAACAACACTCGAGAGGCTCGACACTATCCAGGACAAAGCAGCTGCCACTTGATTGGCACCACATCCACTCCCTCCACCAACGATGGTCAGTAGCAGCAGAGTGTACCATCTGTGAGACTACTGTAAAATTCACCAAAGATCCTAAGATAGCACCTTCCAAACCCATGATCACTTCCATCTAGAAGGAAAGGGAGGCAGATATATGGGAAGACCACCCTCTGCACATTCCTCTCCAAGCCACTCACCATCCTGACTTAGAAATATATCGGCCATTCCTTCAGTGTCACTGTGTCAAAATCCTGGAATTCCCTTCCTCATGGCATTTGTGCCCAATCTATAGCACATGGACTGCAGCGGTTCAAGAAGACAGCTCACTATTACTTTCTCAAGGGGGAAAATAGGGACAAAGTTGATTAATATAGGGCCCAGCCAGTCATGTCCATGTCTCAGAAGTGGAAAATAATGTAAAGGCAGTAAGAGACAAAGAGTTCAAGTGAGGTTGACTTGAAATCGGTTAAGTATGTTAATTGTTAGTTGGAGTTTTCAGTCCTAATAAGGTTGATCAACAGTTGTTATACTTATTATTGTAAGGTCAAAGAAAACAAAATTATTATAAGTAAATGAATGTCACATATCATCAACCTAATTGAAGTAAATTAATGTATGGCAGCACAGCTCAGTCATGTGGAATACATGTTTTAATATGTGGGAAAACATGGATATTACAGATGACCAGCACATGATTCCTTCCATCGTAGCATCACAGATAATAAGAGCAGGAGTAGGGGACATTCGGCCCTTTGAAGCCTGCTTCACCATTCAATCTGATCATGGCTGATCATCCATCTCAGTGCTCTGGTTCCCCTTTCCCCCGATACCCTTTGATCCCTTTAGCCTTAAGAACTAGCCCTGATGAAAATGGCATTAGAAAAGCAAGGTGCTTGTTTTTGACTGGTAAGCCATGATGGGTCAACGGGCCTGTTTCTGTACTGAAAACTCAGTAACTATATCTAATTCTGCACCTTCACCACTGGGGATCTGTCCTTGTAAAGTCATGTCCGTGTGCAGTATGTGTTGGGATCATTACTTTTGCTGCTTGGGATTTAATTGATGCCTGAATTTTCTCTCTCTTCCCCAGTCCCTGTGAGCTGCCCATCCATCAGCTCAGATCTGAAGGGGTCCGCTGTGTCCATCGGTGACCACTTAACCATCCGGTGTACCTCCGAAAGTGGGACACTGCCTATAAACCTCATGCTATACCGTCACCACCACCACCTCCTGAGGAACACGACAGTCGTTGACTCCAGGACAGCCACTTTCCATGTCACCGTGCCAGCTGAGGGGGAGGGCGCTGTGTACTCCTGCGGTGCTGCAAATGCCGTTGCCCACGTTATCAACTGTAGTGAGCCGCTCACCCTCACTGTGTCAGGTATGGATCAAAATGGAAGAAGCCATCAGTTGTAGATTGCCATGTTATCTGAAGGGACACTCGACCCTTTTACCCAGATATCCAAGGGACGGCACAGTGCCTCAGTGGTTAGCACTGCTGTCTCACAGTGCCAAAGTCCTGGGTTCGAATCCAACCTGGGGCAACTGTCTGTGTTGAGTTTGATGTTCTCCCTGTGTCTGTGGGGTTTCTGCCAGGTGCTCTGGTTTCCTCCCACAGCCCAAAGATGTGCAGGTTAAGTGGATTGGCCATGCTAAATTGCCCATAGTGTTCAGGGGTATGTTGGTTAGGTGCATTAGCTACAGGAAATGCAGCATTATAGGGATGGGGTAGGAGGTTGGGGATAGGTCTGGGTGGGATGCTTCGACGCTGTAGGGATTCTATGATATCCTGTGGACCAAAGGTGGGGAACTGACTCAGTACCTATGTAAACAAACCCTTCTTTACTTAACCCTTTAGATACCAGCACTCAATAAAAAGAATGCATTCACTTCTTAGCTCATCTAATTTAATTTCAGCTTTAACTCACTTCATTGAGCTTCACTTCGCTTGATTTAATTCACATTTAACCCTAACTATTCAGTTGGCTTAAATCGAACACTTGCTCGGCTTAAATGAAGTGGTCAAATTTGCTCTTCGTGTAGATCTTGCCTCGTGATTCTCTGTCCTCTCCAAAGATCACTTCAGGGCACATGCTTTGCGATTGTTGGTCTCCAGAGCTCCCCCTGAGAAATCCTTTGTTCTGCTCACTTTATCTCAAAGTTCCTTTCAGAAACTTCTCTGGATCTCAGCCAATGAATTAACCAAACCCTGATCACATTGCTTCATCCCAGCCAGCAATGTTTTACTGAGTCACAGAGTCATAGAGCACAGAAACAGGGCCTTAGGCCCAACTCGTCCTTGCTGGCCAGTTTCCCAAACTAAACGAGTCCTGTTTGCCTGCATCTGGCCTTTCTCCCTCAAAGCCTGTCCTATTCATGTACCGATTGAAACATTTTTAAAATGTTATAACTGTACCTGCACTTACCACTTCCTCTGGTAATCCATTATATACACGAATCACCCTCTGTGTCAAAAAGTTGTCCCTCAGGTCCCTTTTAAGTCTTTCCCCTCTCAGCTTAAACCTGTGCCCCATAGTTTAGGACTCCCCTACCCTGGGGTAAAGATCTTTCTTTTTCACCCTATCTGTAATCCTCATATTGGGTCACCCCTCAACCTCCTATGCTCCACGGAAAACAGTCCAGCTTATCCAGCCTCTCCTTGTAATTCAAACCTTCCAACTTCACTAATGTCCATGTAAATCTTTTCTGCATCCTTTCCATTTTAATAATATCCTTCCTATAGGAGGGCAGCCAGAATTGTATACAGTAATCCAAAAGTGACCTCATCAATGTCCTGTACAAGCACAACATGACGTCTCAACTCTATAATCAGTGGTCTGAGCAATGATTAAAAATTAAACTCCCAACGTTAAACAGCTATATTCCATGTTCTGTGTAAGGTACTATGGTCTATCTCGGTGACCACCTGACACTTGCCTTATTTGGTCAACACAGGAAACTGCAGGCCCTGTCCCTGCTCCCCCCGTTTCATTCTTGTTCCTTTTACGAGCGCGAACAGCTTCTCCCTATCGACTCTGTCCAGTCCCCCCATCTCATGATTCTGAAAATCTCTAACAATTCACAACGTCCTTGCTCAATTCTCATCACTGAGGTTTCTCAGGCCTGGAACTATTCATGTAAACTGCTCCTGCACTCTCTCTCTCTCTCTGTAATGCAGTCACATCTTTCCTATAATGTGATGCCCACAACTATACACAATACTGCAGCTGAGGTCTGACAAGTGTCTTGTACAACTTCATTTCCGTGCTCTCTGATTTTATGCCCTTTTTCATACAGTCAAGGACACTGAGCTTTATTAACCGCTCTCCCTCTGTGCTGCCACTTTAATGATCAGTGCAGATATACCCCCAGCTCCCTCTGCTCCTACACCCCCCTTTTACAGTTGTACTCCCCTATTTTATATTGTCTTTCAACATTCTTCCCACTAAAGTGCATCACCTCACACTGCATGGAACTGGATCTGCCACCAATCTGCCCACTCCACCAACCTGTCAATGTCCTTTTGGAGTTTCACACTGTCTTACTCATGTTTACAATTCTCCCATGTTTTGTGTCATTTGCAAACTTGGAAGTAGCCCCCCAGTACAGCAAGATCCAGTTCGTTAACGCATATTGGGTGAAGTAAGAGCCCTAAAGCCATTCCCTGGGGAGTTCCACTAGAAACTTTTCTCCACCCCAAAAAATATCCATCGACCATCACTCTCTGTTTCCTGCCACTTGGTCAATTTTGAGTCCATATTTTTACTGTCTTTAGAATAGAAATTTCTGCCATTAGCAGGGGGAAGCTTGTATCCTAAATGCAGGCAGGATGTTCCTGATGACTGGGTGGGGGGGCGCGGAAGAGTCCAGAACCACGGGGGTCACAGGCTAAAGGAGATGGGGTAGGATTAAGATGAGGAGAAAGGTCATCACCCAGACAGTGGGGAACCTGTGGAATTCTCTACCACAGAAAGCCAAAGGACATTTGGCTGTGCAGTTTTAGAACAAATGAAGAGGAATTCACTCCCCAAGAGAGTGTGTGGTGGGTGCCGGGACACTGAATAAATTTAAGGAGGAGGCAGATTTTTAATCAGTGACAGGTTAAAGGGAGTGAGCACAGGGAAATGGAGTTGAAACAGAGATGAGATCAGTCACAGTTGTATTGAATGAGAGGGGTTGAATGTCCTACTCCTGCTCCTAGCCCTTACGTATCTGGCCGCCTTAGCAACCTCCACCAATTCAATGGGATCGGTTCCCTGCTTTCTCACATGAAGTCTTAAATTTAGTGACTTTGCGACAATCGAAGTGATCTTTGGTTTCCCCAATTCTGTGTTCCAGATCCCTCTGGGAAATTTGCTCTGCAGGTTGGAGGTTCTGCTGTTGTTGCCATTCTCTTCATTGTTTTCCTGCTTCTGCTCACTGTCTGCAAATTCCATCGAAAAGAGAGACATCAGGACACCTCCAGTTCCCAACCCAGGAGAGGTCAGTTTGTGACTGGGTGCGTGAGGGACGAAGGATGTGTTTCCTTGTACAGGTGCTGGTAAAAGTAGGGATCGGTGTTTGGTCCACTGTTTGGCATTTATACAAACGATTTGGATGAGAATTTAGGAAGCACAGTTCGTACATTTGCACCAAAATTGGTAGTATGGTCAAGAGTGAAGAAGGTTATCTCAGATTATCAAGAAGATCTTGATCAATGGGGTTAATGGACTGAGGAGTGGCAGATGGAGTTTAATTTGGATAAATGTGAGGTATGGCATTCTGGTAAAACAAACAAGGGCAGGGCTCATTCATTAAATGGTAGGGCCCTGGGAAGTGTTGTTGAGCAGAGAGACCGAGGGGTTCAGTTACATAGTTTTGTGAAAATTACTTCACAGGTAGACAGGGTGGTTAAGGAGGTGTTTGGCATGCTTGCCTTCATTGTTCAGAGCACTGATTCTGATACCTTTCCACTTCTCCCTCCTTAGTTCCGATGGAGATTCACACTGGATCTGAAACGTTAACTGTTTTTCTCTCTCTCTCTACAGATGCTGCCGAACCTGCTATGTTTCTCCAGAACTTTCTGTCTTTATTAGCTGTGACATTAACAGTTTTTTTTCCTCTCTCTCTCTTTCTGTTTCCACAGATACTGCCAGACCTTTTGAATTTCTCCAGCACTTTGTGTTTATAACCTGTAATGTTAACGCTCTCTCTTGCTCTCTCTGTCTCTCTCTTTTGGAGCCTTATAATGTGTGTTCTTTGTTTCAGACACCAGCAGCCCCAATTGTGATGAAATTGTGTACTCTGTTGTTCAAGCAAAGAGGAAAGAAGGAGGTAACAAGTTTCTAAATAACTTTGCATCACTGTGTCAGAAAGGAAAAACAAGGCTCTGTGATTACATCTTATGGGAATAGTGTCCATGTGACTGTAGGAGCAGAACAAGGCCACTCAACCCATCGTGTCTGTTCCACCAGTCAACAAGATTGCAGCTGATCTAATCATCCTCAACTCCACTTTCTCCCCTATATCCCTCGATGCCGCTTTCCGATTAAAAACCTCAGCCTTGAATATACTTCATGACTCAGCCTTGACAGGCCTGTGCAGTAAAGAATTCCACAGATTTTCTTCCCTTGGAGTGAAGAAATTCCTCCTCATCTCTGTCTTCAGTGGGTGACCTCCCTTATTCAGATTTGATGCCCCTCTGGTCCCAGACTCTCCCACACAAAGGGAAACAACCTCCCTCTGCATTTCTCCTGCCAAGTCCCTCCAAGAATTTTCAATCTTCTAAACTCCAATGAGTACAATCCCAACCTACTCAACCTCACCCTCATCAAACAGTCCCTCCATACCTGGAATCAGATCTTCTTCAACTGCCTCCGATGCCCAGTTTATCTTTCCTCAGATATGGGGCCCCAAAACCATATCCCAGCTATTGTAGAGTTTTAGCAGAAACATCCCCACTTTTATACTCCACTCTCTTTGAATTAAAGGCCAACATTCCATTTGCCTTCCCTATGCACATCCGTGGGAAGAATTGAGGCATTGACTATTTTCTGAGAAAGGCCGTGGAAATCTGAAGCACAAGGGGACTTTGGAATTCTAGTTCAGGATTCTCTTCAGGTTAACAGGCAGGTTCAGTT